GGTCCTCACACATTTTATAGATGGCTTCCTGTACTATCTAGTTAAACTGACAGTGTGGCCCAAGAAGGTGGGCCAGGGCCAGTCTTCCCGAACATAGGCTTTTCTTTGAAAGGAATGTGCAGGTCTTGAATAACCAGAATTGATCCTTTCCTGCACAAATGCCTCTGATTTTTTTTTCAATACTAAGAAATGAATTTAGAGGTAGTCTACTGCTTAGCTATATCCCCATCTACTTTTATTTTGAGACAGGATCTCACTGAGTTGCGCAGGCTGACCTTGAATTTGTGATTCTCCTGGCAGCTTCCTTAGTATCTGGGATTACAGATATGTAAAGTACTTAGATGTCTCTGATGTTTTTGATCTAAACACTGAATAGTTCCCACCTATCAGTTTCCACATGTTTTCTTTGCTTTCTTTGCACAAGTTTTCCTCAATCTGTTTTTTTCAAACCTCCACCCTCACTCTCATATAAACTAGATATATATATTTTTAGCTAGAAAATAGGAACCATCATAAAAGAATGCCTTTAACTATCACCAAACCACTGAGTCTCCCTTCACCTCCACCCATTCTTTTCTACCTTTCCTGTGGTTACCATAGAAAAGGCTAATCTTCCACCGCAATCACACCATATTCCTCAATTTTTTGTAGGACCCATGGACTAGGGATGTAGAGGTAGAGTGCTTGCCTAGCATTCATGAGGCCCTCCCTGGGTTTTATCTTCACTTGAGCATTGGGGGAAAAAAAGAAAGGAGCAAACAAAAAAGGAAAATGATATGTTCAAGTACTCCTCCTATATCTTTAAATTCTTCATCTATTTTGGTACTTTACTGAAACTTAAAAAAACTCACTTGTCATATCTATATCTATTTTTAAGAAAGAAACACCTCCCCCCACTTCGCATTTCCCTTTGGCTGTGGCCTCATTTTTCTTCTCTTGAAAGACTAGTCCACACTCTCTGCTCCCATGTGTCTGCTTCCCAGTTCCTTCTTGGTCTCTGAAACCGGGATCCCTTTCTCCAACCCTACTCCCAACAACTGACTGAAACTACCTCACTAGGGATGCTGAGATCTTGTAATTGTTAAATCCAGTGGGGGCTTTTAGTTCTCACTTTACTTGACTTCTATGTGATATGACTCATTCTTTACATCTGAGATACTATTTTTTTCATTATCTCTTTGGCTATGACTCAACTTCCTTTATAGGTTCCTTTTACTTCCTGTAATTTTTTTTTTCAGACTGGAGATTGAATCCTGAAATATGTACCCAGCCCTTTTTACTTTTTATTTTAAGAGAAGGCCTTGCTAAGTTGCCCAGGCTGCCCTTCAACTTGCTATCCTCCTGGCTGCAGCATCCCAAGTCTCTGTGATTACAGGTGTGTCCACCTTTTAAATAGCTCCTATACATCCTCTTCCTCTCTGTTTTCTCTGCTAATACCCTAAGCCCTTGTCACACCTGACTTAATTATTGCCCCAATCTCTTAACTGAACTCTGCCTCTAGAATTGCGTTCCCCAACTCATTCCTCACAGTGTGGTCAGGGTTGTTTTCTAGACAGCAAATCAAATTGTGTTATTCTGTTGCTTGAACTTCTTTAATAGTTTGTATAGTCTTTAAGAAAAAGCTAAAACTTAGCAAAGCTTATGTTGCCCTCACGATCTGGGCATGCCTATCTTTCCAGTGTCCTGTAGACAACCGTGAACACCATCTGAATTCTTCTTCTTCCTCCTTCCCCAATAACACATTTACCCTTTAGTAGAGTTTTCTGGACTTTGTGCCTGATAGATCTTGAACTTCAAAATGCAGATCAAGTATCACTTCCTCTGGGAAGTTATCCTGGATTATTCCCTTAAATTAGGGATGGATCCTCTCTCTATATATATTCCCTTAGTGCCTTGTATTATAACACTCTAGGATTTTAAAGTGAGAAAAGTTGGGTTAGTTCAACAAGGGGCCCAGAAGACTGCTAATATGACTCTTCAGACAAAGCCACTAGTGATTCTTTTAGCTAAAGTCTTTGGGATGAGGAAGAAATGGAGTTGAGAGTAAACTGCACAGGGTCCTGTCTGGCACTCTTTTCTCCTTCCATTTCTAACATTCACAAAAGTGACATTCACAAAGGTCATCAACATTAGCCCAGAATCTGAGGGGATACAAAGATGAGAAAGCAATGTCTTTACCCTTCAAGAATTCCCAGTTTGCATGTAGGTAGGGAGAAATACCACTCATCCCTACAGGATGCCCACTTTGAGGTACTATTCTTCCAAGCAGAAGCATTTGCTCCTTCCTCCATTTGTATGGGGCTCAAAAGTCTCTGCCCTGGATCCTCAAGGACACTCTTTGAAAATAATGAAGTTATTTATATGAAAGAGAAAATGTAAACCTTAGCACCAAGGAGCTGGTCTGATACTATGAAATTGGTCTTCTTTGATGTTGTAAAGCTGGTCAGGAACTCACAGTTAGGTGTTTTCGTTTTCCTGCCAAAAATAAACAATTTCATAAAACATCATCAAACAAGGACTACTATGAGACTATGATGGAGCAAGACAAAAACAAGACCACTCTGTAGTTTCATCCGAACACAGATAAAAGAACAAAGCACAAAACACCAAACACACAGTTAGCTTGGCTAAAATGACTGACTTTTCATTTTTCTTTTTAATTATAAAACACTCCCTGTAAATATAAAGTACACATAAAATGTACTCTCGTACCCATTTTTTAAGTGTATAGTTCAGAGGTTTTTGTCATACTTACAATGTTGTGTTACAGATCTCTAGAACTGTAACTATATTCATGGAAAAACAACTCCTAACTTCCTTCTCTCCCCATTCCCTGTCAACTACCATTCAATTTTTCCCATGATTTTGACTGCTCTAGATATATCAGGAGTATAATCATATAATATATATCCGTTTGTGATTGATTTACTTCATGTTCTCAAAGTTCATTTACAATATGGTATATGACAGGATTTCCCTCTTTTCGTTAGCCTGAATAATACTCCATTGTGTGTGTGTGTGTGTGTATCCCATTTTCTTTATCCATTCATCACTTCTTGAACATTTCTTTTTTAGAATTTTAATATTTATTTTTTAGTTATCGGTGGACACAACATCTTTGTTTGTATGTGGTGCTGAGGATCGAACCCGGGCCACACGCATGCCAGTCGAACGCAATACTGCTTGAGCCACATCCCCAGCCCACTTCTTGAACATTTTGATTGTTTCTCTTTGGCTATTGTGAACAATGTGGCAATGAATATAAACATACAAATATCTCTTCGAGATTCTATTTTTCAATTCTTTTGGATGTAAATGCAGATATAGGATTGCTGAGTCATATCATCACTCCATTTTCAATTTTTTGAGGTATTTCCATACTGCCTTCTATACTGGCTGCACCATTTAACATTCCTACCAGCAATGCATAAAAGTACCAATTTCTCCATGTCCCTGTCAAACTCTCCCATTTTCTGGTTTATTTGTTTAAAAAATACTAGTCATGCTAGTGGGTGTGAGATATCTCATTGTGGCTTTTATATGCATTTCTCTAATGGTTAGTGATATTGAGCATCTTTTCATATGCTTGCTGGGCATTTGTTAGAAAAATGTCTATTCAGATCTCTTGAACATTTTCTTTCTTTTTTAAAAACTTGGGTTACTTGCTTTTTTCTGTTGTTTTTTGAGTTCTTTATATGTTCAGAATACCAACTCTATCAGATAAATACTTTACAATTATTTTGTCCCTTTCCATAGGTTTCCTTTTCATTTCATTGTTTCCTTTGATGTGAAAAAAATTTTAAGTTTAATGTAATTCCAATTATCTATTTTTGCTTTTGTTGCCATAGTTTTGATATCATATCCAAGAAATCATTGCTAAATCCCATGCCATGAAGCCTTCCTCCTATGTTTTCTTCTAGGAATTATATATATCTTTTGGCCTTGAAAATCCATCTTGAGGTTGTTTTTTTTTTTTTTTTTTAAATATGGTAAAAGGTAAAGGTCTAACTTCTTTCTTTTGCATATGGTTATCAGTTTTCCCAGCACTGTTTGTTGAGGAGATTATCCCCATTGTGTGGTCTTGGCACCTTTAGATCATTTGATTATATATGTGTGAGGGTTTCTTTTTGGGCTCTCTATTCAGTTCTTTTGGTCTGTATGTCTGTCTTTGTACCTTAACTGCTACTTGACCAATTACAGTTTTTGTTTTTTTTCTGCTGTGACTAAAGGACTGGCCCAGTACAATTATAGAGGAAAAAAGGTTTATTTGAGGGCTCATGAATTCTTAGTCCATGGAAGGCTGGCTCCATTCCTCAGGAACCCAGGTGAGGCTAAATATCATGGCAAGAGAGTATGGCAGAGAGAAGCTGCTCATATCATGGTGATCAGGAGACTTGGCAGGCACCTCTCTTCATACACATATATATATATATATATACCAAAGCCAGCTCTAATTCCCAACTCCTCCAGTCATACCCTACCACTTCAGTTACCACTCAGTTAATCCCTATCAGGGGATTAATTCACTGCTCAGATTAAGACTGTTACAACCCAATCATTTCTCCTCTGAACCTTCTTGCATTGTCTCAAACGTGAGCTTTTGGGGGACACCTCACATCCAAACCTTAACACTTTCCTAGAAGAAGATTCATCAAGCCAAAGAATCATCCTGCTTTCTGATGGCTTCCAATCTAGAGCAAAACCCTGCTTCCTTAAATCCTCTGCAGAATCACCTAATAAAAGCCCAAATCCTACAATAGGATCTCTGTAGCACCTCTGACAAAGATACCCTGAAATTCTCCATAGTTCATAGTCCAATAATAAAACCAACTTAATTTGTGCTTCTTTATAGTCTTTGACTAAGGGCTCTGACAAAAACATGAGATTGATATCTTCAAAATATACATAATAATAATAAACACCAATGAGAAAACGATTTACACCCCAATCAAAATCAAAATTTCGGAGGATAGGAATAATCACAAGAGGAGAAATACAAGTGGCTTCTTAAACAATGAAAAAAAACATTTTATTACAAATGCATGAAAGGATGCTGCTGATTAAGTTGATGGGTCCTTCACTAAAAATTTGAATTCAGTTGCCTCTGCTGCCCCTTCCCTGTTAGTCTCAAGACAAACAGCCTGAGATTACCCTCTATTTGGGGAAGGTTGTCCTTTACAATACGCTGGGATGGTAGAACAGGGGTAACGGGGCTGCTTCTGATAGGAGCACCGGCTCAGCTGGAGCTTAAGTCTACAAGCAGACTGTGGTCGTAGTCCTCCGACCGAGCCGCCGAGTTGCCGGCGCAGCTGGGCCTCGGGGGAAGGACGTTCTAGCCGGCCGGTTACTCGGTGGTAGGGCTTCCAGCCGCCTGGCTTCTGGGCGCCGCCATGTTGGCAAAGGAGGGCTCGAGCCATGGCTGCGGGAGCTGGATTCCGCACGCTAGCGGAACCAGCTCTGCCCGGGAGATGCTGGAAGTGCGGCCTGGGCTGTACCTGGGTGGGGCGGCGGCAGTCGCAGAGCCGGATCATTTGAAGGAGGCCGGCATCTCTGCCGTGTTGACGGTAGACTCAGAACCTGGTTTCAAGGAGGGGGCTGGGTTCGAAGGTCTACGGAGCCTCTTCGTGCCAGCCCTGGACAAACCCGAGACCGACTTGCTCAGCCATCTGGATCGGTGCGTGGCCTTCATCAGCCAGGCCCGCTCGGAGGGCCGTGCGGTGCTGGTGCACTGGTAAGTCATCTCGTCGGTAGGGGAAGAGTGCCCCGCCTCACTTTAGCCCCATCACCCCTTTTCACAGAGGTCTCCAGAAGAGGCGAGGGGCTGTCATTCCACAACAACCTAGTCCCATTCCCTCCCGTAGACTTGTGTCTCGAAGAGAGGAAGGATCTGGATGGAAATGGGCCCCTGATTCATGTTTTGGTTGGTTCATTTTGCAGCCACCAAGTTTTATTTTGTTTTGGAGGGCGGGGATCATCAAATAAATGGCAGAGTCCTTACACCCTAAAGGGTTTACAGTTCTGCAGTACAGGTTACACGCCCACCTGAGTGATTGTAACGCAAACCAGACGTACCAGTTCCGAACGGTGTTACACCTTTGTTCTCCATCCTAAGGGTCACTCACAATCTGTAACAAAAGACTGGTTAACCAGAGAAGAGCATACACGTTTACTTAATTAAAATATAAATGACATGGAGCCTTCAGAAATGAAGATCCAAAGACTGAGGGAAAACTTCATTTTTTAAAAAATACTTGGATTCAATTAAGAATAAACATCCATGTAGAAAAGAAATTGGACAAAAGGGGTATGACTTACTGTAATAGACAGAGAGGAGAAATCCACCAAGACCTGTATTTGGATTTTTCTTGGTCTCTCTCTCTGGCAATCCTTTCTCTGAGGTATTGGGCAGGACCCCTTCTGGAAGAAAGGTCTTATGATCTATCACACAAGGTAGGTCAGAGAGGTTTTTTTGTTGTTGATTTGCTGGCATGGAACCCAAGGTCTTTGGCATAGAAGACAAGTGCTCTACCACTAAGCACACCCCCAGCCCCAAGAGCAGATTATTTTAATGCTTTGTTTGGAGTGAGGGAGGATGGTTGATAAAGGGGAAAATTGGTTAGGATCTAAAGGATCCTTGGGCCCTGTCTAGAAGATTGATGGAGTAATGTTGCAACAAAGGAAAAAAATATAGAAAATCTTGACAGGTATTTGGAAATCCCTGAGTAGTCTTGTTTGGTTGGATTGAAGTGTAGTAACAGTAGTTTAAATTTATTGAGCACTTACTGTGTGCCAGCACTTCTAATTATTTATATAAAGGACCCAAGGTAGTGATGATATTGGAAGAAATCTGGTACCTGATCTGAATGTAAAGAGCAAAGGAGCATAAGTAATTACAAAAACTTTTAAATTAGGGTAATTATTTTTGAATAAGTAATACATTCATATGGTTCAGAATTCTGAAGGAATAAGGAAATAAAAAATTCTGTACATTGGTAGTATTTCAGAGTCAATGGGTTTATTTCAATATAAGTAGACATGAAGTTTAAACCTGAACTTAACCATCAATAGGGGGCTGGGCTTTGTCTTTTTTTTTTTTTTTTTTAATTGTTGCTATTTGCTATTTTATTTTGAAGGTCTCTTTTTCAGCCATGCAGGCATCAGTCGAAGTGTTGCTATAGTGACTGCTTTTTTGATGAAGACTGACCGTCTTACCTTTGAAAAAGCCTATGAAAATCTACAGACTATCAAACCTGAAGCTAAGTGAGTTTTTTGATATAGTAATAATTCTGCTTTTGTGATGTAGTTTCACGAAAAGAAAGTTGAACTTTTTATTTATTTGTCATCACAGGATGAATGAGGGGTTTGAATATCAACTGAAATTATACCAGGCAATGGGATATGAAGTGGATACCTCTAGTGCAATTTATAAACAGTATCGATTACAAAAGGTTACAGAGAAGTATCCAGGTAAATAATAATTGCTAATATACATTGGATTCTTTTCAGATGTCATTTACGTGGACACAAAGTGCATTATTTCACATTTCCAGCAATCTTGCAAGCAGGTTCTGTTGTTTTCTTTTGAAACTATGTTTTGCTAGTAATAACTTACTAGCAAGGTCACATGGTTAATAAATGTCAAGTCTGAGATTTGAATTTAGGCAGTTTGGTGTAATCACCAATAGTCTTTCTCATGTACTTTCCCACCCCATCCTGATTTCCCAACACTGTTTGTTTTTAAAATTTTTGTGTTTTGCCCTTGTTGCCTCAATTTGACCTTACTTAAATTTTGTCTGAAAATGCAGAGAGTTGATTTTGACAGATGGATCCATTTTTAATTTTGTCATATAGAATTGCAAAATTTACCTCAAGAACTCTTTGCTGTTGATCCAACTACCATTTCACAAGGATTAAAAGATGAAGTTCTCTACAAATGTAGAAAATGCAGGTAAAATATTTTGTATGCTCTGGGAATTTGTCTTAGTAGCTTAAAAGAACTTAAAGTTTTATTTTCTTATAAAATAGGAAGAATTTGTCTAATTGAAACTATATACATTTCTGATTCAAATCTGCTTTCAAAAAGGATCAAATTTCATTTCGGTACAGTGGCACAGGCCTGTAATCCCAGTGGCCAGGGAAGCTGAGATAGGAGGATCAAGGAGAGATCAAAGCCAGCCTCAGCAATGGCGAGGTGCTAAAGGAACTCAGTGAGACCCCCGTCTCTAAATAAAATAAAAAGTAGGGCTGGGGATGTGGCTCAAATCTTTTTTTTTTTTTTTTTTGGTACTAGGGATTGAATTCAGGGGCACTTGACCACTGAGCAACATCCCCAACCCTTTTTTGTATTTTCTTTAGAGACAGGGTCTCCCTGAGAGCTTAGTGCCTTGCTTTTGCTATGGCTGGCTTTGAACTCGAAATCCTCCTGTCTCAGTCTCCAGAGCTGCTGGAATTACAGGTGTGCGCCACCGCAACTGGCAGGATATAACTTCTTAAAAGTATAAGTAGAGCTGGAATGTAGCTCAGTGCTAAAGTGTTTGCCTTGCTTCATAAAGCCCTGGGTTCTATCCTCAGTTCCAAAAAAAAAAACGAGGAAAAAAAAAGAACCCCACCTCCCAATAAATAAATAATAAGATGGGAGGGAACCAACCTTTTAAAAAAAAAGTAGAAGTAAAATAATCATATTGTAGGGGCTCTTGAAAGTTTAAGTAGCATCATCAGTGTTATATTATTTTGTCCTTTAAGAAATACTGCATATTTCAACTATTTTTTCATCATTTTGGAAGTCATGAATGTTTTTCTTTCTTTGGGGTTGCAGGCGATCCTTATTTCGAAGTTCTAGCATTTTGGATCATAACGAAGGAAGTAGGCCTATAGCCTTTGCCCACAAGAGAATGACACCATCTTTCATGCTTGCCACAGGGAATCAGGCTCAATGTACATCTTATTTCATTGAACCTGTACAGTGGATGGAATCCACTTTGTTGGGAGTGATGGATGGGCAGGTGAGAACACACTTTATTTTCTATAGTTTCATTGTATCATTTATATTGTGTTCATTTTGGCATTTTTAGCCATATTTTAACCAGTGTTTTACTTCATCTTAATGCCTTTCTTTCTGAATATTATACCTTTCTAATGTAGGTAAGGCTATCAAAAATAAAGTTGTTTATATATTTTTGATGCTGGGAATTGAACCCAAGCCTTGTTCATGCTCAGCATGCACTCTACCACTGAGTCATAGCCCCCAAATGAAGTATTTTTAAACACCAGCTCATCTGAAATAATGAAACATATTTGAGAACCACTGGTGTAAGTTATTAGATTCCTTTTAAGGCCATTGTTTTAAATTTTTCCAAATATAAAGCTAATGTTATTTATTTTGTAAACTGTCTAGAATATATGTGACACAATTTGTAACAATTTAGGGTAAGTCAGGATTTTAAAATTAGGTTTAAAATTTCTTTCATTTTTCTCTGTTGGGTTCATCTATTTTCTCTAATTTTTCAATTTAGTGTGTTATGAGGTTCTTTTTCACTTCCTGTTAAAAGTGCAAGTCCTGAACATTCTTTGGCAGCCATATTTCTCCTTTATTATTGTAAAGGTTATCCTGAATGATTATAATATTTTTGTGTTTATGTGTACACTTTGTACCACTGAGTTACAACCCAGACCCAAGTAATAATCTTAATGAATTTGAAAGATGTATGGTTTTTATAAAAGTTTGTAAGAATTTGTGTAACAGCTATTTTGTGAAAGCCTTCCCTAAAACGTGGTAACCTTTTTTTTTTTTTAAACTAAAAAGCTTTATTAGGGGTATAACTCATATACCATACAATTTACCTTTTTAAAGTGTATAATAGTTTTTAGTATGTTTAGAGAGTTTTTTCAATCATCACCATTCTCATTACCCTCGAAATAATGAACCTATTACCAATCACTTCCCTTTTTTTTTCTTTTTTTTAAATTGTTTTTCAGTTGCAAATGAATACAATACCTTTATTTTATTTTATTTTTATGTGGTGCTGAGGATTGAACGCAGTGCTTCACATGTGCTGGGCAAGTGCTCTACCACTGAGCCATAACCCCAGCCCCTCACTTCCTGTTCTTGATGGTATTATTTGCACTGGTTGGACTTTTTTAGTTTTTTTTTTTTCTTTTTTAGTGTATATTTATTAATGTATTATAGTTATATTTAATAGTAGGATTCATTTTGACATATTCATAAACACATTTAACATGGGATTTTTTTTTAGTTTTAATGAAATCCAAATTATCTTTTTCTCTTTTGTACTTTTGGCTTGCTCCTTTAACCGGAAAACACACACAGATAAAGACTTTTTTTTTTAATCAATAATGAATTCCTTTTTATTTTTTATTTTAGTTTTATTGATTTTATTCTTTTAAATACACGACAGTGGAATGCATTACAATTCTTATTACACATACAGAATACAATTTTTCATATCTTTGTATATATAGTATGTTCATGGCAATTCATGCCTTTATACATGTACTTTTTGCATTATAATTCTTATTATGCATATATACCACAATTTTACAGATAAAAAAGACATTTTTATGAAAGGTTATAAATCACATTTGTGTATACTTTTTTGTGTACATATTTGAATTTGCTCTAGAATATATGCCTGGCAATAGAATTTCTGACTTGAAAACTGTGTCCATTTAAAATATTAGAAATATTGCAGGCTGTCATTCAAAATGTCCATACAAATTTGCTTTTCATTAAGTGAATGTACCTACCTATTTCTTCATACTCTTGGTATGATATTATAAAATTGATAAAGCTTTATTATTCTTAGGGTGAAAAATGTCAATACTAAAATGTTTATTTTGAATTTTTATGACTACTACACAGGACCAATATCTTTATGTATTTACAAGCTAATTGTACTTTTTTTTGTGTAAATTGTTTCCCTATCCTTGACCTATTTTTTTGTAATTTTGTCTTTGTCTTACTGGTTTGTTGGAGCTCTGTACATACTCTTACAGAATGCTTTATCTAATATACTGCAGTTGTTTTCTTCAGTCTGTTGCTTATCTCAACTTTAATGGTATATTTTGTCATATTAAAACTTATGATATGTAATCAAATCTGTTAGTTTTTTTCACTTATAGTTTATGAGTTTTATGTCTAGATTTTCTATTGCTCAAGATTTAAAATAAGAATCCTTACATCATACTACGCATAAATTAAAACACTAAACAACAACAACAACAACAACAAAAATCTCTGACCATGTTAGAGAAACTATAATTGACTTGTTAAGAATTTTTGGGGGCTGGGGCTGTAGCTCAGTGGTAGAGCACTTGTCTAGTATGTGTGGCACTGGGTTCGATCCTCAGCACCACATATAAATAAATAAATAAATAAACAAACAAATAAATAAATAAAGGTATTGTGTTCATCTACAACTAAAAAAATTTAAAAAAAAAAGAATTTTTAGATTTTTCTGTTTTAGTGGAACATTAACTTGTATTTAAATAGTTAGGAATCTGACTTGTATGGTGTCAATATCAATTGGTAATAGGACATGAGAATCCTAACAGGTTTTTCTCTCCTTTAGCCATGATGTTT